GGTGTTGAGCTTCCTGGGTCAGATCGTCATCAGTGTTGCTGCTGCCACTGCAGCCTGCATCGGGGACTTTCTGCGGGGGCTGGAACCAGCAGGTGAGGGGAGAGACCCGGGGGGAAGGGCTGGAGCCGGGCAGGAAAGTGACGCTGCACCAACGGCCCCTCCTTGCTCCAGCTCTGCTCCCGGGCGGGGGTCTGCGAGTCCCAGAGCTGCTGCCCTCCCTGACCCCCCCCCCGGGTCTGCTCCCCTGAGCGCCTGCAGGAGCCGAGCCAGCTCAGGGAGAGCGAATGCTCCGGGCCGGGCCAGGGACCGAGTCTCCCAGCCCGAGGGGAGGGGGCAGGCGGGAGACAGGGATAGAGACTGGAAGGGGCAGCAGGAGCAATCAGTGGGGAGGGAGGTCCCGGCTTCCAGCCCTGCCCGGCCCCATTCCCTGCAGCACCCCAGGGCAGATTGACTTTCCTGGGACAAGATGAGGAGCTGGGAGAGGAAAAGCCAGTTCCTGCCTCTGCCTAGTCCCCGCACTCCCCTGGGGACATTGTCAGGGGGAGCCCCCAAAGCAGCTTCTTTGATCCTGCTCTTTTCCAGAGTTTGGTCCAGACTCTCTACTAGTCCTGCTGGGTTTTCCCTTTGATAAAGTGACCTAGCATTTTTCTGGTATCCCAGACTCTTCAGGGTCTCTGCAGCAAAGGAAGCTGTGGCGAATCAAGGTGTGAAATGCACTAAAGCCCCATGAAGGAGTCAGTGCTTCAGCAGAGCAACAGGACAGGACCCTGGGCTCCTGAGGAGGACCCTTCCAGACACATCTCACAGACTCAAAATGGCCCAGGGATTTGGGTCTTATCTTGGGTAAGTCCAGCAGACACAGGATTATTGATGAGTTGATGGTGGCGCATCTGTACTGAGGGGACTGGAGCCCCTCTTGCTGCAGTGCACTGGGCAAACCCAGTGACACTGGGTGATGTTGGTGGGGACAGCTGACTGGAAAGCTGGATTTTCAGAGCTGGGGGCACCCGGCGTTCCCTCAGGAGCCAATGGGAGTGGCCAAAGCTTAGGACCTCTGACAATCCCGGCGTGTATAGACACTTACAAGTCTGCCAGGTTTTTTAAAGATTTTTGGGTGTCTCAGCTCTTAGGAGCCGGAATTGAGTCCAGTTCCAGAGCCGCTGAGACCCTGTTCCCTCCGTTTGAGTGGTGGGTGCTCAGCACGTCTGAACATCTGGCTCAGAGTGTCTGAAATTGGGGGCCCAGTATCAGTGACTCCCTTACCTCCCAATGTGGCTAAAGTGAGACGGGTCTTGTGCTGGTGTGTGTGTGTGTGTGCATGTGTGTGCCTGCATGTGCGCATCTAGGGGATTTACAGAGCAAGCCTGCCCTGCACTCACGCCGCAGCAGCTGTTCATGTGGCTCCTGTCCCGTGGGGTTGGGTGTGTTTGCTCCCCACTCTGGGTGTTGCAACCTGGGCCTGGCTGCACGAGGTTGCAGTGCCGCTCTGGTTTGGCTCAGCACCCCAATGGATGGGAGGGCAGCTGGACTAAATTTGAGAGAGTGGTGCCCAAACCCTGTGGAATCACTTTGCCTCTCTGTGCCTCAGTTTCCCCATGTGTAGAATAGGGATAATGATACCACACTTTGAGCACTTTGAGAGCTATGGATGTACAGTTCTGGACATCACTGATCAGGGCCAGCTCTAGGCACCAGCAAAGCAAGCAGGTGCTTGGGGCGGCAAATTTGCAGGGGCACAAGAATCCAGCATGAGAGCTGAGAACCAACAGGGAGCCCTGGGAGCTGTAGTTCCTTGGTTAGCGCCCTGCCTATAGAGTCGGCCCTGGAGCAGGGAAAGAACTACATTTCCCAGCATTCCCTCAGCTGCAATTAACAGGAAAGGGTGGGGGGAAGGCATGTAGAACTGAAACCTCATGCTGCAGCTTGCTGTAAATGGTAGGGACAGAGCCAGCTCTAGGTTTTTTGCCACCCCCCACCTCAGCCCTGGGCTCCCCCTGCACCCCTGTGTTACCCCAGCCCTGATCTCTCCTTTGCCCACACCACCTGCTGCCCCAGCTCTGCCCCCCCTGCACCCCCCTGCTGCCTCAGCCCTGGGTTCTCCCCCCACTCGCATCTCCTGCCACCCCAGCCCTGGGCTCTTCTCCCCCCCCCCCGCACCCGCACTCCCTGCTGCCCCAGCTCTGGCTCCCACCTGCACCTCCTGCCGCCCCAGCCCTGGGCTCTCCCCCAAAGAAAGAAT